CCGTTTATAAATTAGGCACAGTAAGAGATGAACAACAATAACTAATGATCAAACAGACCAGTGATGAAAACACTGCAATAAAATTCAAAATATGGTCAGTCTTTTTCAAAAATATGATACGGTACTTTTTTGGAGCCTGGTAATGGAAACCTCAGAAATGGAACTGTAGGGCCAGGCACTGATGGCTCACACCTGTAATCCTCACTACTCAGGAGAGAGAGCTGAGGACTGTGGTTCAAAGCCAGCTCAGGCAGGAAAGTTCACAAGACTTTATCTCATGTTAACTAGTAAAAAGCTGAAAGTGGAGATGTGGCTCAACTGGTAGAGCACCAGCCTGTCGTGAAAAAGCCATGTGAGAGTATGAAGCCCTGAGTTCAAGCTCTAATGCTAACACAGAAAAAGAAAAGTGAACAAAATGAAACTGTGGAAAAGAATTAATGTCTTGTGATATAATTCCAAGAAATGCCCAATTCTGACCTCCTGAGTTCACAAGCAATTCTAGATCATCTTGGTAGGAATTCAGCTTGAGGCTATAAGGTTGCCCTTTGCTTTGCTCACATAGCAAAGACTCAATGTCCGGAACAGCCTCTTGCCTTGAAAAGCATAAACATTTTAAACTAACTCTTCCTTTCTGCTCCTCTTTGCCCCTCTTGAGAATTTTGAACATCTATTCCCACCTTTTGAAAGGAATCCAATGGTGAAGCATGCAAGGAGAACTTTTTCTATGACATGTTTCATGAAAATCTGCCTAGGTGAATCTTTTTCTAAAGGAAGTCTGTGGCTCACCTGAGTCAGAACTGCCTGGGTGCTTGGGAAGAGTAGGTTCCTGGCTCCACCGTGCGTGTTAACTGCAGCAGGCTTGAAGGGGAGGGCCAGAACCTGCATTTAGTGTGCACGTTACAAGGGAATAGAGAATTACCACATTTCTGTTTTGTCCAAGCTGTAGCCCAGCCGGTCTGTACCTCCAGTCTTCCCATCAGAGTTCCTTTAGGGAAAGGGTTTAGCTCACAGCGTGTACTTCTGGTGAATGGACTAGGGCCCCACCTGGCCTGAGGTGGGGGTGACCCTTTTAACCCTCACAAGGAGGATCTGGGGAGAGAAAATATATCACAAAAGGAACGCAGAAAACTGATGAGGAACCAACCTGAAGGGCTGCCTTCTCTACTTTCTTATGGTCAAAGCCACTTTTCTCCAACATTCCAGAGCCAACTGAGGATAAAGCTTCGTGGATCTGATTCCCAGTCCATCTGGTCTGTTCAAAGTTGTCTTTCCTACTTGCTGGAATTCATTCTGATTTCACATCACGGGAGGCATGCATAATGAATGAGTGAATGGAGAATGAGCAAATGAACTTCAAATGCAAGTTGAATCCACCCAACCCATTCTCACAACCAATATGCAGATTTCAAATAGCATTGCAAATTTCACTTTAACATATCTTCTTTTTTCACATTGCCTGCTGCAAAAATCCTTGCTAGAATATGAAACACTATCAGATCACAGAACTAGATGAGTCTCAAACTAAGTCGGGGGATTTCGCCTCCAGGCACCAAGGTGTGTTTTCTAGGGGTCTCCCCACTGCTCGCTCTGCTTCCAAAGCTCAGTGTTATGGATCTTTGGTGTTGCCAGCCATAGTCTACAAACAAGCCTTTCAATTTCGTTATAAGGAATATAATTTTATGTACATACAATATTAGAATCTTGTACAGAATCTTCATTTCTACAGTTTTACTTGTTTAAAAAAAAAAAAAGGAAATGCTCTTTAATTTTGTTGATGACATTGCTGCCTGTAAGCTTCTGGGTTCATCTCCTAACTGCTCTCACTAATCAACCATGTGTGCCGGTACCAAGGGATGGACTGTGTGTACAAGACTGAGCAACACACAGAGATGCCTATGAGTTAGAACGCTGTGAACACATGGCCCGCCTGGATCAACAGCTTCATCAGCCCCTCCACCCGCACATCCCTCCCAAAGATTCACATGCTGCATTTAAAGGAACATATAATGTATTGATTTCTCCTGTCCAGCTTTGGAAAGCTGAATGTTTTGGTGCTGTAAGCAATGCGAACCCTGAAACATGAGGAACCAATCAGAAAATCCTTCTTAGACTCCTTGCATCCTGCCGGGCTGTTGACCTTTCCTGATGGGGGCAAAGCATTCACTTTGAGGACAAAGCATAGTCCATTTGTGTGTGATGTTTCAGTAAGCCAGGGTCAAAGCAAGGAACCAAGTACCTAAAGCAAGCTTTTCTACTGGGTTGAGTGTTAAGTGTGAGCAATGTAGTCAAGCCCCTCTTTCCCTGGCTAATGTAAACCGCTTCCCACCTTACACAAAGGATGCCTCCTTCTCCTATTTCCTTTAAGTAAGCTCATAGATATCTGAAGTTGGGGAAACCTGATAATGAAGTAGGGGGTGATAATTTTACTGGACTTTCTTCTGGTTCCAAAGATGAAGCCCTAGTAGTTAAACTCCTTAAACAACCCTCCTAAATTTGTCCCCATTTCTACTGAAATATTCTAGAAGAAGAGCCTTGGATAAATATGCTTAGACACACTTCCTAATCTTAGAACATTTCTATGAGGTCTGGGGTACGGGCCCATTACTCAGTTGTCACTGGCATTTATTATCTGATAGTCACCTTACTGAAAAGGAGAATTGTTGCCTGTTGACAGCAGGCTTTCACAATGCCGAGTGACAGACAAGCTGCCTGGAAGGAGGGGCCAGAGGAGTGGTGGCCCAGCCCAGATGACAGAGTCTGTCCCAACCCTAGAATGTTATTTAGACCAAGTTTAGCTTGTAGAGTCCAGGTCTGGTTAATTGCCAGGGTAGCAAAGAATCGCATGTACCAGTATACACAGGAGTCAAAATGCATTCTTAGTCGGAGATCGAATTGCACATTGTAGAGATGTAATGGCTGTGATTAAGCTGCACACGTATGCTGGGAATGGCCTGTGTGGATGGCTAGTAAAATGTTGTTGGCCATAGTATCACTGACACCTCTCATCTGCTTGAAATACGGAACCATATTCTAAGATTCCAGCCACTGGGGGTCTTGTTCACCACAGGATAACTCCAAACCACAGAACTTTGCGGCAGTTCACAACAGACAGGAGCGTATCTGCAAACGCTCTTGTCTTCACAGATGTTTAATAAAGTAAAACTCTGGATCTGACGTGGCCCAGAATTTTCTTTCTTTTTCCTCATTGTGGGTTTGTAAGTGGGATTATAGAACAGTAGTGATCTACATGCACCTCAGGTGAGACCGGTTTTGGGGGTCCTTTTCTGGATGATATAAACGTTATTAACAAGACTGGCCTTTGCTGGGTACCAAAGCTCCCTGGCTGCCCACAGATTTCCCTCCCATGTGGGAACAAAGTGATCTGGCCAGAGAAGGCCGATATTCAGGGGGGGCAAATCCACGTACCCACACGAGTCACTTCAGAAGCAGAAGGCCAAAGGTGGCACCCTGCCCTCCAGCATCCTAGCAGGCATGCAAAACTGGCTGGCTTTCTTCCAGGCTCTAGAAGCTTCCAGATGGGCTGTGAGAGTGTCCCAGGAGTGGAAGAGGGGCAGAAATGGTGGTTGGTCCCATCTCTTGAAGTTCAGTTTCCTGAAAGTCGAGGTAGGGATGGCTGGGAGATAGCCTGTACCTGTATCAGAACATACGCCACTAGGCAGCTGGGCCTCAGTTTCTCTGTAAGGACAGCAGCTAGGGCTAGCCATCTGTAAGATCACGCAGTCACTCTCCATCTAGTTTATAGAGTAGCATGCTGATTTGAACCCAAGGAGTTGGAGACTCAGGACTCTTCCTCCCAGAGTCAGGTTTAGTTAAAAAGGAATGTGATTCAATATCCCCAGACACTGGGTTTCATTTTGATTTAGGGCTTCTTTATGTGTTCTGCACATCTGAAAAACAAAACCCCCCAAACCAGCCTTGCCTAATAGGAGACAGAAAGGGATGGGTGGAGGTGGAAGCTGCTAGCCCAGGGAAGTGCCTGAACTCTGGCCTCTCTCCCAGGCTCCCACTGGCCCCTCTGCTGGCCCCTTTAGCCTTTGGCCCGCTCAGACACCACCTCCCACCTCTCCGGCCGGGCCTGTTTCAGCCCATCGGCTTCCTCCAGCGGCCGGCCCAGGCCCTCCGGGCCCACACGGCAAGACGTAGGCACGGTGGCGGCTCAGGTGCCTGGCTCTGGACCACGCGTGAGTTCTGCTCAAGTCTGGGCTGTGACATTCACTCTCCTCCTCTGTCTGGGCTGGGGAGCCCTGCTTCCAGTTCTGATAGGGCAAATCCGGAAGGGGCGTGGCCACAGTGGGCGGGGCCCCGCGCCGGCCACGCCCACCCAGGGTGAGCTCACAAAGACCCGGCGAAGCCTGGGTCAGGAGGCCGGAGTGGAGGCGGGGCACAGGAGGCCCTGCCTGCGGTGATTGGGCCGCGCAGGTGAGGGGAGGCCGGGATGGAAGGGGTGCGGAGGAGAAAGTCCTGGTCCTCGCCTTCTGGGGCCTTCCCTGCCGCCTCTCAGGATCCCCATCTCGAAACTTCTCGCCTACTTTCTCCCCCGGACTCGGTCTCCGGTTCACCCCGGCCCTTGCCCCCGGCTTTCTGGGCCTCGCTCCGCCCCATCTGTAAAGCGGAAGTGCTCCCCCCAGGGAGCCGGGGTGAAGTGGGAGGCCTTGGTCCTGCTCCAGCGCCCGGCTGCCTCTGCCATCCCCCCGGGGGACGCGTGGGGACCGCGAGCCGTCCGTGCGCGCTCCCACTGCCGGCCCCGCAGCGCCCTCCGCACGCCCCGACCGCGCGGCCGCACCGCATCCGCCGCGGCCCTGAGGGCCCTGGGGTCCCTCCCAGCCAGAACTAACCTTGTTGTGGGGCTCTCGTGTGTACCCCAGGAGAGCAGCCCCGGAGTAATGTCAACGAAAATATCCCTGGATATTGCCAGGTGTTCTGGGGATGGAGGGAGCTGGTGGCAAAAATGACCACTAGAACCAGTTTCCACCCGGATTAAGAAAAGAGGAGGCGCACAGGGAGTATGGGTGCCTCAACTCTCCACCCACGAGGTTCACCCACGAGGTTGCCTATTCGTTTCTATATTACTCACCTCTAACACATTGCATAGTTCATGAAGGAGGGAGGGAGGGATGAATGGATGGGGGGAGGGACAGACAGACAAATGGATGAATGGATGGGCAGAAGCCTCCCAGGGACAGAAGACACTCCTGGTTGGTTGGTGATCCATACATCTGTTTTCTAAGATCCTGTTAAAGGTGATGGTCCACAGTCCCAGTCTCAAGGTCATTCTCTTCCCAGGGGCTTCTTGCACATGTGCAATGTGTTCTTGAAGCAGGGACTTCAGATGAGACTATTTCGTTCCTTCTTGCCATTGTTAACAGAAGGAGAGGGAAATCATGAAGCCTTCCAAGACCTTCATGAGAGAGCCGCCTGTCACACCAGGCTACAGTGGTAAGTGGTGATGCTCTGGAGACCTATGGTCCTCATTTCTGTCCCTGCCCTGGCCCACTGTCCATTTCTGTGGTGCTGACTGAGCCAGCACAGGTCCCCCAGCATTGAAGATATGCACCCACAGCACCCAGGGCTGCAGATGGCTGATAGCGAGGCTGGGACAAGGGGGAGACAGGACTGGCCAGGACGTGGTGTGGCATGCTAGCACTTACTCTGTGTGGAGTAAGTTTGGACCAAGAGGGACACAATGCTACAGGGGTAGACACAGCACATAAACTTGAGCCCTGTCCTTCTCAAGTTGGGTTTTCCCAAGTTTCCTTGTACTTACAATCTTATATTCCTTCCTGTGTCCCCTAAAGGGCAGGTAGCCAACTGCTTTGGCTTTCCAAGGAGTGTCCTTATTGTAATGCTGGAAGTCTTGTGTCCAGAAAAACTCCTAGTCCATGCTGAACTAGGAGCTAAAGGCTGTTCCTTCTCAGGCTTCTGGGCTACTGAGAACTTATTTTGTGTTCTACCTCTGTAGCACATCCTATGTCCCATGAGCAGGAGTGGGGAAGGTTGCCCTGGCTTACCCTAGTCCTACTAACAATAATTAAACTGGATGTGGGTTCTGACAAATTTAGATGGAGGTCTCTGATTGGCCATTGTCTACATGACTGTTAAATATCAACTTTTTTTTTTTTTTTTTGTCGGTCGTGGGGCTTGAACTCTGGGCCTGGGCGCTGTCCCTCAGCTCTTCAGCTCAAGGCGAGCGCTCTACCACTTGAGCTACAGCGCCACTTCCGGTTTTCTGGTGGTTTATTGGAGATAGGAGTCTCACGGTCTCTCCTGCCCGGGCTGGCTTTGAACCGCGATCCTCAGATCTCAGCCTCCTGAGTAGCTAGGATTACAGGCGTGAGCCACCAGCGCCCGGCAAATATCAACTTCTTAAGGAAAATTAAAGAAAAAAATCTTAAAGCTATTGTCACCAATTACCATAAAACTGAGCAGCTTAAAACAGAAGAAACAGAGTCCCCATTCTGGAGGCCCTAAGTGTGAAACCAAGGAGTTAACAGGGCCATGCTCGCTTCCAGTCTCTAGGGGAGAGTCTTTTCTTGCTCCTTCTAGTTTCTGGTGGCCCAGGTATCTCCTGGCCCATGGAAGCATTACTCTCTCAATGTTCCCATGACTTGTCCCAAGCTCCCTGACCCCCAAGAGTCTCATTTCTCCTGCAAGGACATCAGTCACTAGCTTTATAGCCCTCCCTAAACCTGGGACAATCCCACTTCTAGATACTCTATTATAACTCCGCAGTGCCACAGTCATCCAGAATTAAGATTTAAGATTAAGATATCTTAATGGTTAAGAGTGAAGCTATTTATCTGGGTTACCTAACACATCCCCATCATATGGGATGCATATGATTTTGTGGTCACCGAAGGAATCAACACTTAGATGCACTTTGAAATGTCTGTGTCTTCAGCAAGGCTTGATGTAGCAAAGCTTCATAGAGGTAGCCCACATCACTCTTGAGTGTGTGTGTGTGTGTGTGTGTGTGTGTGTGTGTGTGTATGAGATAGATAGGGGGAAGGAGGGAGAGGGAGAGAGAGAGCTAATATGCCCCTCTAGAAAATCTGTGTGGATTGAAGTAGACCCTGCAGAAAAGGGTTTCCATGGTCTTCTCCATATTGGATTGTCCACGGCTATGCAGAGACTGGGTAGCAGGTAGAGGATTTCAACACTGACAGAGTCCGCCGCTGATCTCATGTAGTGGGCTCAAGGGCTCTGGAGTGGGTGTGGGTGTGTGTACGCCACTTCGAACCAGAAGCCAGTTTTTCTTTGACAAAGGCAAAAACACTGGCCTCCTGTCCCCACAGATATTTATTTACTCACCCCATGGTTTAAAGCCAAGCTCTTAACCAGTTGTCCTCATTTTTGCTTTGAAAAAATGGTTCAATTGTGACAATGCTCTATAGTACTTAGGATTCAGCATCTAGTTTAAATAAATAGTTGTGTTTTACCCATACTAATTGTAATGATTACATGTTATTTTGTGGAAAATGGTGAAAATGTGTCCTCCAGTGGGCCTCACAGATAATGAATTTACCTTTTCGTGTAATAGGGTCCCTGCTTTTAATAAGCCTGCAATTTCTCTATGGTCCAGCAAGAAAGATCCCAAATTGCATTTGGGAAGTGTCAAGGAAAATACGCTTTCTCTCTTCAAAAAAAAAAAAAAAAGATGAATAATTTCAATTACTCCTCAGACTATCATTTCGGCCCATTAAATGCTTTCCCCATTTGCTACTCAGGCTGACATCGAGGGCTTTGCTATCAAAGAATATGACTGCCATCGCCTTTGTTGAAATAGGCCCTCCACCCCCAGCTCCAGGGTCATTTTCTTTTTCTTTTTTTTCCCCACCCGTCCATGGGAGAGACCAGTCACAGCGGGGAAAACCTCCCTGCTTGTATTAATGGCTGTGGGCAAACCCAGCATGGTTGGCTGAGCGGGAGAGCACGGGGTAGGCTGTGTGGCTGGGGTCTGGCACAGGCCCCCGTGCTCAGGTTGTGGTGCTATGGGGCGTTGCAGGCTTTGTGCCGTACCTCAGCTGCCAGGAAAGCTCCAGCCAGGACAACATGGACTACTGTATGAAAGCCTTCCAGGAGAAAACGCAGCGCCTTAAAGAAGACATGGATCGATTTCGCTACTCGGTGGCCACCAGTCAGAAACTGAAGCCCGTCTCTTCGGAGGAGACGGTCCTGCGGTCACTGCATGATTATGCCCGGCTCTATCACCCCATGACTCTAGGTATGGCCCACTCCCGAACTCCTGATCCTGGCCCCAGATGCAAACTGCAGCAGCAAACTGAGCAGCCACAGAAAGAGCAACATGTAGACAGCCTGGAGCCCCCAGGGCTCAGTGTCTTTACAGGAAGATGAATTCCTGGGGAGAGGGAGAGGAGTCCTGGGAACGCCAAGGGGAGGCCTGAAAGTACTGAGAGCCCCCAGGAAAGTGGTTTTCCAACATCGGCTTTGGGATTTGGATCACTTGTGAGCTTGCACGATGGTTGAGACTGTTATCCCCATTTTGGGGGAGAAGTGAGGTTTCTAGAGGAACTGTCACTTGGCTGAGATCACTTCCTAAAGTCAGCCCTGGGTTTGAATCCAGCCCCCCCCCCCCCATTTACTCATAGGAAGAGGTTTTACATCGAACAGGAAAAACCACGACAGATGATTATGGAATAATAATCACAGTGGTGATTTGGCCTAGATTATTTTACAATCTAATGTCCTGTAGGAAAAGTAACAGGATTGATTTCCTGTGCTTCGAGTACTATAGTTCTTGGAGTGCTTTTCAAGCAAATATAATTTTCAAGCGTTACAAAGAATCTGCACAAGTTTATGATTTATAGCCTAGCATTGTAACCACTTGCTGTGTGGGTGAATGTAAATTGCTTCCCCTCTCTGGGCTCCAGTTTCTTCATCTAGGGAAGGGAAGGATGGACCAGATGCTCCAAGGGTGTCTTCTAGCTTTGAGTTCTGAGGCTTGGTAGCTGCAGGGGGCAGTGGGGGCAGGAAATTCTCCAGGGTCAGCTAGCTGGCCAGTCCTAGTCAAGACCTGAAGGCACAGTCTAGGTGCTGAGTCTGATGTTCCATGCAAGTCTTCATCTGCTCCTCCACACATTGGAGGGAATTGTGGTACCCTGTGGTTGGTGAGAGAATTCAGTGAAATTAGACTTGGAAAGCCCTCCCCCCAAGTGATTGACATATACCTTCACCCAGTCATAGTTGCTTTCATTACCTGTGTAGACTTAGGGGTTTCTAGATCTCCTTTTGGAATGCTAACGAGCTTCTGCAGGCTGCCTGTTGGGTGTCTTTACAGATTACCAGTATTTGAAGAAACCTCTCCACGAGCCCCCCATCCCTGGCTGGGCGGGGTATCTACCTAGAGCCAAAGTCACTGAAATTGGCTGTGCCACAAGGTATACCGTCATGGCAAAACAGTGCTACGAGGATTTTCTGGATATCATAGAGCGGGATGCAAAGGCAAAACAGAAGACTTATGAGGAGTAAGTGTGGCTTCAAGTTGGACCCACAGAGGGCAGAGCACAGCTGAACTGGGTGAGGGTCCGTCTACCAGGTACTCCATCCACGCTGTAGGGATTATTTTGGGTCTGATTTGCTATTGTGTATTATAGGGCCTTCCCAGTATACAACCAAGCTCCAACGCCCACCTGCTGCTGCTGGTCCTTGCTGGGTTGCAGGGAAAGGGCTAGGAGTACAAACCAACAGGGCCAACTGTTCAGGCCCAAGATGCTGAGGGAGAGGGATGGCAGAGACATCAGGACACCCCATGAGTGGCTCGCACAGCCCTGCTGTTCCCTTCTTTAACATGGGAAAAGCCAGGCGCCCGTGGCTCACGCCTGTAATCCTAGCTACTCAGGAGGGTGAGATCGGAGGATCGTGGTTCAAAGCCAGCCCAGGCTGGAAAGTCTGTGAGACTCTTATCTCCAGTAAACCACCAGAAAACTGGAAGTGGTGCTGTGGCTTAAGTGGTAGAGTGCTCACCTTGAGCTGAAGAGCTCAGGGACAGCGCCCAGGCCCAGAGTTCAAGCCCCACGACTGACAAAACAAAATAGGAAAAAAAAAATCTTAGCCTTGGGTATAAGTTATAAGAATTAAACATATGGTGCTTGCTTAGGACCTCTGTGGGTCGTAGTAGTTCTTCTTCTTCTTCTTCTTTTATTATTATTATTATTATTAAAACCAGTAACTCTCACTTGGCTTTGGTCTCGCTTTAGAATGCGTAAGGTCATCACTGAAGTGCCTCCTAATCCGCTAGATGTTCAGCAGGAGGACCAGCTGCCACCGCTGTGCGCAGATCTCATCCTTTCTGGTAAGTTGGGGAGGGCTCGTCCTAACCACTGCTCTGCAGAGGGAGACAGAATGTGCACAGAGCCCTCTCTGCAGCTCACATTGGGATTTTTCCTCTTCAGGAGAAACCTGCCCTTCCCATGGGAGATCCCTGAGTAAGAACCCCAGAGTTCCAACAGGTGACTGTGCTAAGTGGCCCAATGTGACCTGCCACAAGAAGGTGAAGACCGACACAGAGGGTTAGAAGGGTGCAGCCTCCGGGGAGAGGTGGATCTCAGCAGGCCCAGAGGCCTGCCATGCTAGTAGCAGAATCAGCCCACACCCACTCCCTAGAGGGCAAAAAGGGAATTGAGGGACAAGTGTACTTGAACTCCTGTCTGTGCTGTTGGTAAGAACATGCCGTTAGTGATGGAGATTTTTGTGATCATGATGGAATAAAGAAGGTATCTGTTAGTCTGCTAATGGTGTTTGTGGGTTTTTTTTCCCCTAAGGTACATTTTTTTTTTCTTGCTGGTCATAGGGTTTGAACTTGGGGCCTGGATGCTGTCCCTGGGCATATTTGCTCAAGGCTAGCATTCTACCACTTTGAGCCACAGTGCCACTTCTGGTTTTCTGGTGGAAAGTGGAAATGTGTCACATACTTTCCTGCCTGGAATGGCTTTGAGCCACATTACTCAGATCTCAGCCTCCTGAGTAGCTAGGATTACAGGTGTGAGCCATCAGTACTTTTGACCTTGAGAAGTGCCAGGGTGCAGTCTCTTCTTCCTAACCTTGGACAACTGGCCCAGGTTCTTTGATGCCCTGGCCCAGTCTTCTAACCCGGCCATCTGCACCATATCCGGGGCCTGGCCTACTTCAACCCTTGGTTTTCAGGGTCCCAGTTCACAGGAAGCTCCAGCTGGAAGGCACAGATCTCCCAGCGTTCCAGAGATGCTCCCACAAAGTATTGGTGACATGTCTCATTACGGAGCCCAGGAGTTCAAAGCTGAGGTGTAGGCAGGGCCTCACTACCTCACTACTCTGCAGCCTGCCTCTTCCTAGCTGTGGTGATGGTGACACCTTTGGCGTTCCTTGCCAAATGACTGCTGTCTCTACCTTCCTCATCAGAAATCGGAAGCGGCTCCCGGGCGAGGGGGCCACGGACATCACAAAGCTCAAACATGAATGAAGCCAGGAGTTCAGCAGGCTTCTGTCAGGAGCGCTTTCCAAGGCAGGAATTGTGGTTCCCTCCTCCCCACCCCCAGGTCAGCTAGAGACCACAGAGAGAATGCAGAGCCTTGCTGAACGAAGGCTCCCACCTCCAGTGATATCAGCCCCACAAGCAGAACTTAGAATTTCCTTCATTTATCAATGTAACCAACAGACACAGGGGTCACCTCAGTCTTGCAGAAATAACAACTTCTTTTGCATCATTTGTTGCAAGCAGCTGGAAATATGAATACACATCTATGTATTTACAGTAGCTATTAGAGTTATTGTAGCCGGCTTTCCAACATAGTGCCATCCAATATAGGGGGAAAGAAACTCTAATATGGCTGTTTTCTTGATTTGTTTTATTTTATAATTGGACTGTAGACCCTGGAAAACATGATTTTGAGGAGAGGCCCACAGAGTTCACCAGCATGACCAAGGTATTCCAGAAATGGTAGAGAACCCTTGAAGTGCTTGGCACCAGTGGCTCAGGCCTGTTAACCTAGCTATTCAGGAGGCTGAGATCTGAGGATTGCAGTTCAAAGCCAGCCATAGCAGGAAAGTTCATGAGACTCTTATCCCTAATTAACCACCAAAAAAGCTGGGAGTAAAGCTGTGACTCAAGTGGTAGAGCATCAGCCTTGAGTAAAAAAGCCAAGAAGCAGTGCCTTGGCCCTGAGTTCAAGCCCCAGTACAGCACACAAAAAAGAGAGGAGCAATGACCAGGTAAAGAGTGAGTGTCCCGCAAAGCAGCAACCTCATCTCTACAGGACTCAGGGTCACAGTGCGCAGTATTACTTAAGAGTTGATGTATAATTGGGATCGATGAAGGGGAGAGGAATACCAGAACAGAGGGATGCAACACTTATTCATTGAGATTATTACAGAAAATGTCCCCAATCTCAAAAGAGAAAACCTCACCCACATAACAGAAGCATACAGAACACCTAGTAGAAAGGATTCTAGAAGACACACTTCTAGACACATTGTAGAAAACACACTGGACCTGAATTGCAAAGAGCTGATTTTAAATGCTGAAAAATCAAAGAAGGATATACTACAATGGAAACCAAGTTAGTATCACTGTGGATCTCTCGATACAAACCCTCAATGCCAGGAAAGCCTGGAAAAATACCATCCAGGTCCTGAAAACCAATAACTGCCAACCCAGACTGGTATAGCCAGCGAAATTAGCATTCACAATAGATGGAGAAACTAAAATTTTTAATAAAGAAAAATGAAAGGAATTCATGAACAAGAAGCCAGTATTAATACTAAAAATACTAAAAGGAGGTATATAACCTGAAGAAAATAATCAAGACCATGGAACCACATCAGACAGAAGCCTAATGGAGAGTTCACTTTGTTAATATGAAATGTTCTTCTTTGTTTTTTCTAATTGTAATTTGAAATATGTTTTATCTGATATTAGTATTACTACCCCAGCCTGTTTATGAGGGCCATTTGCTTGGAAGACTTGATTTCAGCCTTTCACTTGAATTATAGTTGATGTTTGAAAGCCTCAAGGGCATAGTTAAAGACAAGGAAAGACAGAGGAAAGGTTGCAGATTAGGTAAGCTAAGAAGACAGGATAACTAAGCAAGCTAGATTAGATTAGATTTGATGGAAAATAGAGTATTAGTAAAAAAAAATGCTGGTAAGTACCAATAAAGCCAATGACCTAAAGCAGTTTAAAGCATTACATCTCTTGGTAATTATACTAAGGTTCTCTGGATTTTCAGCCTTAGGAGATGCTGATCAAAGACAAGTAGTTCTTTGAACTATTTTTGTAATTATCAATCTAAAAGTGTACATTCTTCAAAGTACACCTACCTCAAACTTGGAACTAGTCAGTTCAATGGACTTTGTGTCTTGGCAGATACATATTTAATATCTGGGGACAATTTATCACAGCAAGTATACTTTCAGGTTGTTGGTGTTTTGCTGCTTGTATTTACTGAATTTGCATTTTTGTTGTTAGCTTTGTGTTATTTCACACACTCTTTTCACAGCCATGCATCAATAGCTTCAGAGATTTGTAGGGATATAAAATTTGAGACAGTAATGTTAATGAATTAGTTCAGAATTGCTAACACAAATGTAAACTGAGAAGAGCAATCCATTAAAAGGAAAAATTGCAAGAAGTGTGTACTATTGACAAGCCGAGTTTAAATGATTTGTTGCATTTGTTGTCTGAGATGGAAGTCTGTAAAGAGTAGCTTCAGGAACTGTGACGTTTTCTTCAATGACATTTCCACAGAAGATTTCAGGATATATTTAGTAAACTGAGGCTATGGATAAAAAAATTACTACCACAGACTCTGGGTCTAAATGCCTAGACTAAATGCTAAAGAGTTGTGTAAATTTGGAAAATAAATTAATTCTAAAAGTTTTAATTTACTCCCACCCATCCACCCTGCCCTCCCCCCCCACATACACACAAAACAAATTCTACACACATGAGCTGGAAAACAGTTAATATACTCTATTAATGTGATGGCAATTACTTATCAAATTGTGTGCCTCAAATATGTGCAGTGTGTATGTCTATGTATCAAGTTGTTGGAAGAAATAAGGAAATAAAAATATCATCTTCAAAAAAGAGTTGATGTTTTTGAAGGGAAAATATTTGATATAATACATGGATGGGACAGGCCATAAAATGTCTGTGAGCAACAAACCTAAGTGTGTACACACACCCGCCCACCCAATTGTGTTTTTCTTTAGTAAAACTGGGAGAAAGAAGCCTGTGATTCTAATAGTGGTTATTTAGACGATGATAATCGCTGTTTTTATTTGCTTTTTCTGATTTTCTCCAGCCAACAGGCATTGCTTTCATGGGGAAAAATGTAAAATTCCTTATTTGAATTAGTTTTTTTTGGAGAGTTTGTGTTGCATGGAAAAATCTCTCGTATCTCAAAAGAAGCGAATTCACAACCTCTTCAGGGGGCTGAGGCCCAGTTCAGTGTGTGTGTGTGTGTGTGTGTGTGTGTGTGTGTGTGTGTGTGTGAGTACTGGGGCTTGAACTCAGGGTGTTGCTCTCCTACTCAGCCAGGTTGTTGCTCTACCACTTGGACCATGCCTCCACTTTCAGCATAGGCTGGCTTCAAATCTCGATCCTCAGATCTCAGCCTCCTGAGGTAGCTAGGAATATAGGCATGAGCCACCTGTGTCTTTTTCTTTCCTTTTCCTGACGATTCTTAAATGTTGAATGAGTGATCCTATAATCCTGGAGAGGAAACTAGTACCCTTGCATTCAGCCCCTTGCATTCAGGGCCTTGCTGAGCCACTGAATCGCAACGATCCCCTTAGAGATGAGTGACAAGGGAGACCGTCTGCCTCGCCCCCTCCCCCACCCTCACAGAAGCCACAGTGTGCAGAGTTGAGGCACTTAAGGGCATTGAAGGTCTTTGCAATGAACTTCAGGGAGTGTCAGAACCCACACAACTTACCATTACCCTCATCTTGCTCTTCTCCTAAGGGCATGTCAGGCAGCAATATTTAAGTCTCCTTGACTAATTTGTTTTATGCCATCTTTTAAAACTACAGCTTGAGCTTTTAATCCAAAATCATAAAAAGAAAACCCCAAACCAAAAACAAAAAAACAACAGCCCAATGACAGAGGCCACGAGATCGAATAAAAGCAATTAAAAAATGCCTTAACAGTATCAAACTCTCCTGCAAGTTCATGGCTAAGATCACCAAGTTCAACACACAAATCTCTTACTCCTTTTGTGTAAGTAGTTCCGAATTGTAATTGTTCTCTCTAATCTTTCTCCTTTCTGTTTCTTCCTAGCCTGTAATTTCTAGAGCCTGTCTGTCTGCCCGGGGAGGTGTGGAGAGGTGATTTTACCGCTTGGCAAATTATCGTTATTAGCACAAGCTGCATCCATAATGAGCTCATTCTTGCCACGGAAAAACAATTCCATTACCTGATAAGACAAAACTCCCTGGGAAACCGGTCCCTTTGTTGGGCTAGTTTGGGCTCCATGGTGATTAGAGTGCTTCTTTGAGGGTCTCTTCTTTCTGGGTGGTAATTGACAGCTCCCTCCTGAGTCTTGGGTGAAGAGGCTCTGCCAGGGTTCTCTGTCTCTGGATCCCACGGTGCAGACCATGATGTTGTCTCTGAACAGATTTCCATGGCAGCTTTAACTTTGCTCACAGTCAGCTGTGAAGTATGCGGGCAGAAGGTAGACTCCCAGATTCCTGGGGTTCATATCTCAATTAAGCTTTTTTTCCCTTCT